GCAATTTAATTGGAACAATTCAGTTGAACCAAATACTACCTCTCTTAGACAACATACCAATAGTCAGAGATTTGGAAAAAATTACTTTGGCCAGCCTGATTTGGACCACCATCTTACTTTCTAAACATGGCATCAGAGGGAGGAACAATTAGAAAAATGCTTCACTTGGCTGCCGGATCAGGATTTGGATGTTAAAACAAACAAGGCTTTGTAAAACCATTGGTTTTCAATTATAACTAGTTTACAGTCAATAATTTATAGCTTCTTTTAAGATTGAGTTTATACATTGCACTAAGAAAAAAACAATCTCATTTTGGGGCTTAGTGATTTGTATGAACTAAGCTTCTGGAATAAATTAATGTTAGCATATGTCATCAAGAGCTAGTTGAGGTTGGAGGAAAGCAATCAGCAGAGAATAAGGATAATGTGAAAATTGGACAGTGCAAAGTTTATTGTACCTCAAAGCCCAAAATGATCTTGTGTCATTTTATGTATAAATGGGAGAGGCTGAGTTTTGCAAAGCAAAATGGTCCATCAGCAAATTGTGTCCTTGAATGAGGGATTTATTCATCAGTTGTGATCCCTCCCCAAAAAACTATAATTAACCATTTCAGAAATCTCTTCATCAATCCATCATTTTGTGCTTGAAAAAAAAATCGTGTATAAATCAGATATGACTGCATTAAATATTGATTTGGAATTCTTTTTCTGCTTAGCTTGTATTAATGCAAAAATGGGATATTGAGGTCTCTGTACTGTAATACTGGGAACAATGCAATGGAAAGGAGAGACAGGGAAGGCATTCATAGCCATCTCGTCGTTAAACAGAATGAACTGCAAAAGTTGAGACGGCAATTCTGAACAATGTAGATTCAGAAAGCTGGTGAAGCTTCCATTGTTAAGCTATTGAATCTTCAGACAATCCTCACAGGGAGAAGTGCCATGTATTGTTTAACCCAAAACATTTCTCTTTGTCATCGGTGGTCTCTCTACCTATTGCTGATACTAAACTATATTTCCCAACAATGCCAGTGTGAAAGAATGCCAAGTGTCAGGCACGAAAGACGAGGTCCACACGTGAAGGTCCAATTAAATTGAGTTATTGCTGTTAGTCCAGAATCTTCTCAACTAAGGATTAGCACTTGCTAGGAGTCAATAGGGAGTGGGGGAGGTTGGATTCAGTCTATTTGTGGCTATGTAGGGATTCTAGGCTGACCCCTCTTTTAACTCTGAACCCAGGTTCTGCCATTCTTTCTACACTGTGTGCTTCAGTTCAGCAACTTCTGAAGAACCACAAGATTACTACCTTGGTGCTGTAATTTTGAGCTGAATTTGCTGTGGAGAAAGCAGCCTAAAGCAAAACACAAGATTAATATGAGATGTCCATCCATGGCCAAGAAAAGTCCTCAGGGGACTATCCATACATTCTCACTAGCACTTCTCCTTTAACTAGCCCTCCTTCCCTGGACCTGTAGGTTTACAGCTTCATCTCTTGCACCCTTTTTACTCATTCAGAGATGACACAGGGATTGCAAGCAGGGAAAACAAGGTTTGTAGGATTTGCTGGTGGCCTTCAACTGAGTTAAAGGCCTTCACAGGTGATAATTGCCACTCGCCCCATGCACCTGGCCTGGCCACTGGGCTGCTTCTTTCTGCTTCTTCTTCTGCTTTTGGCTGCATGCAAGGAAAGCAGCAAAAGTCTTTCTTCCTGTCCCCCAAACTCCACCAGAAATGAATCTTTGGGACCCTGCAAGGCATCCTGCTCCAAGAGGCTGAGCCGGTGTGACAAGTCTCACAAAGACTCATTTCTGGCGGAGTTTGGGAGAAAGAAAGAAAGACTTTGCTGCTTTCCTTGCATGAAGCCAAAAGTCTCTCTCTCCCGCCCACCCTGAGAACAGAGCTAGAGACGGTATCCTGCGAACCCAACTAAAGAATGATCGATTGGTAGGAAAACGGGGTGGGGAATTTTCCTGTAGACTTTTGGGGGGATTTTCCCAGGGTCTCTGGTCCACAGGATTTAAAATTATGAGTTTGGTGGTCCCTGAGGTCCAAGAGGTTGGCAACCCCTGATCTAGTCCAGCCCCCAGCTCAAGCAGGAGAACCTATATTATTTCAGACAAGTGACTGTCTAGTCTCTTCTTAAAAACCTCCAGTGACGGAGCGCCCATGATCTCTGTAGGCAAGCTGTTCCATTGGTTAATTGTCCTCACTGTTAGGAAGTTTGTTGAAGATGGATGGGTTTGTTTGTTTGCTTATTATTGAGAAGATTTATATGGCTGCCCACTCCCTCTTGATGACTCTGGGGGATTACGGGCCATAAAAAAAATACCATATAAAAAGAATAAAAAAATCTAGGGTATGCTGAATGCCTGTCATTGTTCAATGGCACTCAATTTCCAATATCTAAGGGGCTGCCAGAAAGAAGAGAGAGACAACCTGTTCTCCAGTCCACCTGAAGGCAGGACAGAAAAAAATAGATCGAAATTAATCAAAGAGAGAACCAACCTAGAACTAAGGAGAAATTTCCTGACATTTAGAACAATTAATCAGTGGGAAAAGGCCTACAGCCAGAAGCTGTGGGTCTCCATCACTGAAGGCTTTTAAGAAGAGATTGGAGAACCATTTGTTTGAAATAGTAGAGAGTTTTCTGCCTGAGCAAAGGGGTTGGACTAGAAGACCTCCAAGCTCCCTTCCAACCCGGTCATTAACTTCGGATCTGGAGATGTCTTGCTGTGATCACGCTCACTCTGCCTCTTCTTTCTCGTTTTGTGAAGCCTCGCCGGATGAGCCCTCTCTACTCCTGCGCGTCCAACAACACCGAAGACAGTTACGTCCCCATGCATCCAAGCACCTCCCCTCCTGTCGCAGGAACTGACTGCACCCCGGATGGCTACATTCCCATGAACCCAGGATCAGCTACTTTTGCTCTTGCTGAAGTTAGCACGGAAAAGCTCACCAGCCCCTTGCCTGAACTCCCCTTGGATTTGGAACCCCCTCCGGTGAACCGAGATCTTAAGCCTCGGACAAAATGTAAGCTCTTTTCTTTCCCCTGGTCTTCCCCCTAAGGATCTCCCTAGCAGGTCTGGAGAGCAAGTGGGTGGTGGAACTACTGAGCAAAAAGAGCTGAGAGAGGTGTCAGTTCTAGGATAAGAGACCAGGTCCGGGATTGGCACTGATGAACCCTTATTTTAATTTCCTAAAATGCCCGTAAGGGAGCAGGGGATGGGGATCTTATCTTCCCTTGAGAAATCATCTTTCTAGCAGCTTTCCTGGTTTCCCCATTCTTCAATTATAGGCTAGTCCTCAACGTACGACTGCAATTGAGATCGGAATTATGGTCATAAGTCATGGCAGTCATTAAACAGGTCACCGTGCACCTCTGCCCAATTTTATAACTTTTTAAATTGTGAGCGTTAAGGGAATGCTACATTCATTAAGCAAAGACACCTGTTTTCCTCAAATGGGCTGTTAGGTCTGTGGGGATTAACCCCTAGCATAGTATTGCAGCAGTAGTCAAACCAGGAAGCCAAAGGAGAGCGGAAGGGCCCCAGAGTATACACACACTGAACACAAACACTGTTTGTAGTTTAAATAGTTTTTAATCCAGTTAGAGTTTAAGCATTGTCATTCAGTCCATTAAGTCATTCACAGTATTTCCATCCAGTAAGACTCACTAGTATAGTCCAAGTTAAGAGTCCTTGCAATATCTTTATCAGCCGATAAAGATATGTTCTCCTTCTCCGGTTTCACTCTCCAGAGAAACAAACGCTGGATATTCAGCAAACAGTAGCAAACAATAACAGTTCAGTCACAGGCACTCACAGTCAGTAATCACAGTTAGTCACAGCAAGACACAGTTACAGCAAGTCGCAGCAGCACACAGTTACAGTAACAGACAGTAAGCTTTCCAGCTTCTAATGCTTCCTTATATTGTAACTTCTAACCGCACCCTTAATCGGCTAATTGCCTGCTGCATTGTGCTTAAAGTGATAAGCACTTAAACCATGATATCTAAGTTT